AAAAAAAAAAAAAAAAAAAAAAAAAATAGAAACAGAAATGTCTAGTATCATTTATTGGTGGTAGTAGAGTCGAGGATCGATACTTGGCGATTTGTAGACTGCGAGAGATCAAAGGGAATCTCTTGTTAATTAGTTAATACCATAGAAAGTTAAAGAAAGAGAGAAAAAGAGAGAAAGAGAAAGAGAGAGAGAGAGAGAGAGAGCTTACGAATCGCAGATTAAGGTATGTTTCATTGAGTACCAATTATATCGTATTCTGTAAAGGGTTAACGTTCAACGAGATAGATCAAATCGATGAAATTGTTTTCTTTTTTCCTTATTCTTTGCTTTTTTTTTTTGTTACAACTTTAGAAATGACTTTATTCCAATTTCTATACAATTACGTTTTGCGTGTGGTAGGCATGTATGTATATTATTCCGTTGAAAAGTTTATATCACGCATTAATAATTTATAATGAAGTAGATTTAACCGCGTGTGTGTATGTAGAAGTAAAATGTAAACATCTTGCAACGAGCGCAATTTGAACCCGGTTTCGTTGTTAAAGAGTCTCATATTGTGGTGCGTGATGCTCCTCCTCCTCCTCGCGAACGTTTAATTTTATGCCAAGCGTTTGTTGAATACAAATCATTCGTAACACAACGTGTCGGGGGATACTATTTCACAAGCTGCTCGTCCACAGATGCGAATGATACGTGTGAGTTTTGATGCGAGAATGCTAGAGAGAAAGAGAGAGAGAGAAAGAGAAGAACCAAAAAAAAAAACCAAAAAAAAACAGAGACTTTGTTAAACGACACCAAAAGTTATAAATCGTTCGTACTACCACCAAAGGTGTTTTTCCAAAATATACGAGTAAATAGATGGAAATTCGTTGATATCGTTAGCTGTAAAGAAATAAAAATAAATCAAATTGTATGATAATAAAATTATGTAGAAAATTACCTGAATTTGACAGACGACTTCACCGTATGGCCAGCATCCGTAAACCGCCGGTAAAAAGCCAAAAGGAGTCACCAAAAGACCGATGGCAAGGTCGTTGCTCGCTAAACTTGTCAGCAGATATCTTGGCTATAATGAAGTTTAAGAAAACCTGTTGATCAGTCTAATTCTCGTTGATAGCTTGTCTCTCTCTCTCTCTCTCTCTCTCTCTCTCTCTCTTTTTCTCTTTCTTACTTTTTTTTTTTGAACTTTATCATAACTTCCTTTTCCTTAACAAAAGTTTTATCAACGTCACCTAGCATCGATTTGTAATATCATTTTTTTTTTGTTTGTTTCGCAAGAAAGAAAGAAAGAAAAAAAGAAGTTTCTAATTAATTAACATTTGAGAACAATTTCTAAATTATACGTAATTTATTTAGAACTTGATTTTTCGAGGAAAATAAAGGAAAGATATTAATTGACTAATTTAAGAAATAGTTGAAATCTTTTTATATTATATTTAATGATAAAATAGCTAAGCTAATAGCAAGCTGGTCCCAAGCCCAGATGAAGGAGGAGGGTTCGAGGGTGAGACTAGCAACCTACCCTCGGTAAAAAAAAAAGTAATCGCTCATGGAACTAACAAAATAGTCTTTTTAGGCTGTGAAGTTAGGAATAACAGGACAAAATCCTAAGAAGAAGAAAAAGATTTAATAATATTATTTAATTTTTGAAAAAATCGTTGTAAAACGATAAACCATATAAAAGTTGAAATTTATAGGAATATGTAAATAATGATTTTGATTAAAAGGTAAAAAGGAAAAAAAAAGTATTAAATCAAAGGACGAATTTAAAACAAACAAAAAAATGTTTAAATAATTCTAAAAATAACATCGGGAAATGATTGAACGTATAAAAAAAAAATACGAAATTCCAAACCAATACGAATAGACGTGTCCAATCGATGATGTTGAATCCAATTAACGTAAATTTGATGGTGAAATTCTTGTCCAATGGTACGAAACGAAACTTGATGTTTCACGCGAATTCAACCAAATCCTAGGACTTTGCACACCGAAAACGTATCTTCCTCTGTCTACCATCGACCGCAAGAACTTTTCTACGATTCAGGAAACGTTTTCGAATTCGACAGAATAATATAATTCATCGATCGTAAAAGAAAAAAAAACAAAAATTGGGTTTACGGATAATTCCCGACTTTGCGAATAAATCCTCTTTTTTTCTTTTTTTTTTTTTTACGAATACAAATTTACAACGTAACAATTGTTTCTTTTATTCCCAAAAATTTACGATTTCTCATAAAAAAAGAAAAAAATTTAACAATATTTTGCAAATTATTAAATAAATATTTTCTATTAAAGATAAAAGTATTAACAAGAGATTTACGATTAACAAGATAATTTTTAAGACAAATTCTATAAGAAAAGTTAATTATTCGTAGAATATATTTTTATTTTTGCAACAACATTTTAATTATTAAATATTAATAAATATTATAAATAAAACAAAATACCCAAGTAAGCAGATGACGTGTCTCCACTCGTCAAATTTACCCAAATGGGGTTAATTTTATTTCTATATAAAAACTTATAGATATTTCGAATATCATGGAACAGAAAAAAAAAGTTATTGATAATAGAATTTTGTTTTTTATTTATCAAATTACACATTTTTTTACGTCTATTTTTTTAATGGAGTACTTGGGATGATCTTACCCTTACTATACGTTATACTTCATCGAATGAATTACGTGATACGGATTTCCTATTAATTTAGTGTCTATGTATGAGTGATCGATACTTGTCCAACACACATCTACGTACAAGTATTAAATATATACGTAGAAGTCGATAATGTTTTCATCGAAAGTCTACAAAATAGATTGGAGATGTGCGACAAACTTTTATTTCGTAAATTTTGATATTATATTAAGTACTACAATTCATACGTATTAAATTGATCAAGAAATTTGACTAAACGTAGATACATGTCTACATCTATGTCAATGATATTAAAAATCTACCTCCCCCACCACCACCACCACTACCATGAAAAAAAGCAACAACAATTTAAAGGACACTTTAGTAAGACAAATACGCGACTACTACACGCGAGAAAAGCGCGACAAAATTCTCTAATGGATTCTACCTTCGCCTTTTCCTAAACCCTTCGATATCGTTTTTCTTCGTTTACATCGATATGAGATTTTTTGATTTACCACACCGCCACGACGCAATAAATTTAACTTGAACTTTTCGATTACCAGAACTGATTTATGAAGCTCACGCGGTCTAAATCCACCTCTACCCCTCTCTCATTTAGATGTTCAACATTATTTCTAATTTACCATAAAACATTTATTATAGTACTTTGAATATGGTATTTATATTCTAATCGATTTAATTTGAAACTAATGATTATTAAAATTGTTCAAAATAGAACACCATGTATATTCAACTAATTTGCATTTTAATATTCTCTTAAATCAAGTATTCGCGAATATCATGTATATATATTTTATCAAGGTAACGCGAAAAGATTACAGGAACATTGATGGAAGGGTCAGAGGTATATAGATGCGACCTAAAAGGTATGAAAGGAATACGCTCTCTCTTCCCTTCCCTCGATAACTTTTATCTACTATCGATCCTATTGCATTTTAATCTTTTCCATAAACGCGAACAGAGTGCTATCGTATCCTTCACCATCTTTATACTGTTCAAAACGTTTATACAAAATATTCTTCAAACGGTAATAAATAAAAAAACAATGATTTTAAATACGAATTATTTACATAAATGAAATATTAATATAATAACATAAAAATATAAATAATTCAATAAATTTTTTTTTTTTTTTTTTACACCACTGGATAATCATCTCACATAGACAGTATTAAAATATCCCTATAAATTATCAAACAAATTTGCTAATTATTATTATGAAAAACAAAGGATTGAATAAAAATAGACAATACTATAATTTATGATTCGTAGTACAATAATAAAATCATTATTAATATATTAATTTTTATATTTAACCCTTATGCACTATAATTATTGTTCCAATTTGTTCTTCACTCACTGTCATATAATATTTCTGATTTTCATATCTCATATTAAAATTTAAATACTCAGTTTACTATTGTTTTTTTAATTTTTAATAAAAAAAAAAAGAGTAGTTTTCTAATTGCATATCGACAATGTCGATAAATAAGCCTAATATGCAATTTACGAATAAAACTGTTTCATACTGTTTTGCTTTGTTTTAGTAATACAATATAAAAATAATTTTGTCACACCAAGAGAAATAACTTCATAGTATAACAAAGGGTTTTTAAAAAAAATAATTAAATTTCAATAGAAAATATGAAAACATGATTGACAGACAAATTTTGTGACAAATAAATATCAAATGAATATGAAACTCACCTGTGCGTGAATGTATTTGCTATATCGTCTGCTGTTGATGACGCAAATAACGAGTAGATTAGCAAAAAGTATACCAAGGCTGAGTACCAAGATCAAAGCTGCACGTAACAATTCCCCAAATCCTGGTCCTGTCCAAATCGGTTCGGAGTTGCCGGCTCGCCAGCAACTGCTGTTGCTGAGTGCCGGCGCCAGTAGAATCGTTTGTTTGTTTTCCATCCTCGAACCTCCTCCCACCATCACCACCACCACCACCTCCTCCTCTTCGTCGTCGTCGTCGTCCTCCTCCTCCTCTACCACCACCACCACCACCACCACCACCGCCGACAGGTGTTCGCCTTTCCACGACGCTTTCGACTGGTTGCTTTCCAATAATGTGAGACCTTCTCTTCCTGATTCTACGCAAGACACGTGTCCTTCTCCAATGTCTTCTGACCCTTTCATCCCTGTTTGCTAACAAAAGTTCGTCAAATACATCTTTTTAATCTATGTTTAAATTTCGATTAAATGACTGTCATGTATGAATTAATCTTACATAAATGTTTGATTGATTTATTGTCGCGAACCAAGGGGATGTGACTGATCATAAACTACTGAAAAATCTAATTTTGAATTTTAGATTTGTAACGTTTATTTTGTAAATGATTCAAGGCCATTTGTAAAATATAATATAAATATATATTATTTTATGTAAATTAGTCTACAAGAAATTTATATAATTAAATTACATATTGATAAATTTAATAGAAATATTGCCAGATAATAAATGAAATGAAATAAAAAAAATAAATTTTGGGGGTTTACAATCTCAAAAGATCAGACCTCGCAACTGATCTTTTGAACAAAAAAAAAAAAAAAAAATAAGATAACACCGCGAGAACGTGGTATAATTAAAAAATAAACTTAAGAACATCCATACAATATTTCCATTGATACAAATGAAATATTATCTTTGATAAATAACGATGAATATTGTTTATACTATTATTTGATAAATGAATTTAATCAAGTTCCATAATGTGTGTAAATCAATTAAATTTGCAAAATTAGGATGATATAATTTTACGTAATAAATGTGTGTACACAATACAAATATTCAATAAAATATATCGTTCAACAGTTTAATTGGTATATAATTAATTATTCGTTAATTGGATGTAAATTGAATAGGTACCAATTTCAAGTAGACGGTCCGGTAAAACCGAACCTTCGATGATCGGCAACGCTCCCGTGCATCGTCCTCTTTGATAATGGTAACGATGATCTTAGACGATGGATTAATTCGGGAGCGTCGATCGTAACTCACGAGGCACCAATTCGATGAGATACAATTGTACTCCATTTCTCCTCGATTTCACGCATTTCCCTTTCCCCTTGCATCTTGCAACGAAACTTTCGACGAATTCTAAATTCAAATTCAAAACAATAAAATAACATGAATTTTTGTCATTAAATAACAATTCTAAAATTGATGACAACAAAAAAAAAACATTTAATAATAGTTTTGTAAAGAAGAACAAAAATGCTCGTTGATTTTAATTTATAAAAAAAAAATTGATCGATCTCGTTCATTTATCGGAATAAAAAATTAAATTTAAAACAAAAATATATTATAAGGTAATAACTCTTTTACCATTTTATTAATAAAGTTCATTTTTCAAGCAATGGAATAAAATGTAAAACGGTCAAGTGAGTTTCGCTTATTTGTTGAAATAAATTATACCAAATTTATGAGTTTAAATAACTGAAATTATTATTATTATTATTATTATTATTATTATATAACGTTAAATTGAGATTATACCAAATTATGCTGAAAAATAAATACAAATAATTGCATACGCAGTACTTTTAACTCGTACACATATATGAAGCCAATTATGAAGGAAAAATATATACAAATAAATTTGTATTCTTGATCTTAAGAAAAACAAAATATATATATATATATATATTTTTTTTTGTCTGTACAACTCTATTATGTAAAAATTACAGACATTCAAAGCAATTGAACTTGTAAAGCAATGTTACAAATAATTTATTCATTATTACCACATGTATGTAAAACATCACACTTAACACACAAAAAAAACCACAATTTCGATCATTTTTCACTTAAAAACAAGATCCACAATAATAATTACGAACAAACATCACGAACTTTCATTTGTAACATGTTACAACAAACTAATTTTCGTAACAATACGTCAGACGCATTATTTACACCTGCATTTTGTTCAAATGAACCAATCAACATTTCGTTTTAGTTTTATCATCCAAACTCATGAAACTATGATAAAAGGTACGATTAATCTTTCTCAAGGCTAACAGAGTCAATTTACAATACTATCTTATGGTATACAGTAAGTATGCAACTATGAAACATTAGCACGAGTAACTTTATCAATTGACGATATCAAAAACCAAGGGATTTTTAAGAACAAAATAAGTCGAAGTACAAAATAGAAAATACCTAAAGTAATAATGAGAGAGAGTGTGTGTGTGTATGAGAGAGAGAGAGAGAGAGAGGGAGAGAATGAGAATGAGAAAAAGGGGTAAAGGAGACGATAGACGTGCAACAATATTTCACAAAAAGTTTTACTTGCCACACGGGTCAACGGTTTAGTAAAGTCTTGTCACGAAGACGTTGATAGATCGTCTGGCGTCGATCTTCGTCCTATGAAACACGCTCAGCTCTCGGATCAATAACGAAAACTTGTACAAAAACCAAAAGCAAAACACCACTGGTGTAGCAGTTCGCTCGCTCCCATACACCTTTCTTCCTTTTTTTTTTTTTGTTATTCTTTCATTCTCTCTTTCTCTCTCTCTTTCTCTCTTTCTCTCTCTCTCTCTCTTTCGCACTGTTTCTCTCACGCAGATTTAACAGTCATAAAAAAAAATTAAAAAACAAAAAAAATCAAACAAAACGAGCTCATGCGAGACCCACATTATGTCGTCCTTCGTATTCTCTCTCTCTCTCTTTTTCTCTCATTTTCTCTCTCAAACGTTTTCTCTCGACTTTCGCACTACTCTCTCGTTGACAATAACGTGGAATAATTAATTAAGATTTTTTTTTTTGCCAGAGTTTCTAAACGAGTGAAATGGAGTGGGTCGACCTTTAACCACGTGAACGCAAGCTCGGACCATACCGAATAACCGACCGACCGACCGACCGACCGAGGCTGATTAAAATTCGAGCGAATCTGGCTCGTTCCGGTCACCCTCCACTTCTCCAGTTTCCCCTTTCTACCCCTCCCGCCCCCTTTCCTCCTCATACAAGAGAATATGCGTAAGAGAAAGAGAGAGAGAGAAAGAAATATACGAGAGTAGAATATGTAATTGAAACAGTGCAGTGGAAAGAACTATATAATATCTTCCTATCTATTCTTTTTACCTCTTTTTCCAAATATTTTATCACCCCCATCCCCCCCCCCATCCCCGCCCACCCACCTCTTCTCCACATTGTCGACTATTCCTATGCATATTCTTTCTTATCCGTGTACATATCTCCTATATATGTATTACTTAGGTGTATATATGTAGTATATGTATGTTCATTCATTTATTTCTTCTACATTCCTCGAGTGAAAATCTTGAATATGAGTATCGATGGTAAAAAATAGGATTCTAGGATTTCGATTAAAAATTATAAATTATTTTTTTTTTTTTTTTGTAAAACTTGAAATATAGGATATACAGTTAGGAGAGAACTGTAATTTAAAATTCATCCATATCATGTTCTTTGTTATTTTAAGTGGGACACTTTAATAACAAGAAATATGCGAATAATCCCGTTAGCAATATTTTGGATGAAATATTTCTGGTAAAAATGAAATTATTTAAGATATTTAACTTTTTATATATATATATATATATACTATAAATTTTAATTTTAATTTTAATTATATTAAAATAATTTTTTTGATATTAAATAAAAATTTAACCATTTGACCTACACGCTAATTTCACAGTAGTGGTTCCTTGCGCTACGCTTTAAACCAGCGCCTACAGTGTCCCATTCTCACGCTTCGCTAAAACCAAGATTTGGCGTGATTAAAATCTTTTTTTTGCTTCGAGACCAAGTACATATTGTTTTTAGACATCTAAAGTACACTTTGAAGCTACAAAAAATATCGATTTTTTGAAAATTTTAGAATGGTGTTACCCCTCAAGCAGCGTCTTAGCGTGTTCGTAGGACGTCGCTTTCAGTTTTAGGACAGAAACATCACGTCGTATGGTATACGTCATAATATAGGTCAAATGATTAATAAAAATTCGAATGAGAGTTTATTATCAATTAACTTTTAGAATTTTATTTCTTTTTTCTTTTTTTTTTTTTCTTGCAATTATTTCATTCCATATATTTTATAGTCTACTTACTCGTCCCCATTTCTGTCTATATTTTCTGTCTTACGTCAGACAAATTTACTGTTCGGTGTTCGCGTTTCACAAAACGATCTTAATGAGATTTTAACTGAGTCGCAGTTAAGTAGCTTATTTACTTAAGATCGAAAAAAATGTGACTTTCAGAACTAACTTAACCTGAGTATTCACAAGAGAAAATTAACGAAAAGGAAATCTACATTTTCAACGTGGTCTTTGGTCGACGTCTTGTTTATCGAAAATGCGACATGATTGATCATTCCATTGTAAGGAATTTCATGAACGTTATTTTAACCTTATTCTTATTCTTCTTAAGCTTGTTAAAATAAAACTTAAAACACACTATGATATGGAACACGAGTTTATGAATTTGAAGTTGAATAATATAACGAATAATTCTACTTTGTTCGAAAATGAGATAAAGAGTGATAAAGATAGATAAGATTTGTACTTTAGCTTTGTCATATTTTTATTCTTTGTTTAAATCTTCTTTTTCGTTTTTGTTTTTGTTGAAACACATTTTTTCGTTCGAGCACATTATTCTCCGTGTTAGCGCGAAAATTTGAAAATAATATTCACTTTGACGTTTGTTCATATACACAGGGATGGAAAAGACAGTAGGGAGGAACAAAAAAATAGTCTGAGGAAAGAACAAAAAAAAAGAAAAAAAAAGAAAAAAACGGAAAGAAGAGAAAAATGTTTTAATCTACATAGGATACGTAATTTTAAGGAAGAACCTAACGATCCTTGTGTAAACGAACTTGCGAAACTTTTACAAAAAGTTCGCTTCTAATTAATTACAACCCGTCCTGTGCGTATATACTATATATACGTTTTCGTGGATATTACAAGAAAATAGTCGAGATGACGTAAGACAAAAAAAAAATTATTGTAAAATATTACTTAGATACGGAACAATTTCATACGCAGCTGTTATTTTCAACGAAGAAGATAAAGAATACTTTTTCCATGATAGAATTGAAAATATTTTAATTTTAACGTTTTGGTTCATGAGGTCAAAACAAAAAAAACAAAAAAAAATAATGAATCGACAAATTTTACAACAAAATTATGAACGTCGTTAAATTTGGATTTACAAATTAACGACGTTTATAACAGAAATATTTTGTCATTTTATTAATTGAAACGTATGACGAAAAATCGAATTCGTTAAATTTTGCATAAACGATTAAACACGTTAATATTATTTTATTTATCGTATAAAATGTTAATACAATTTGAAACAATTACAACAAACAACCTGAACGAATGATCTTCCGAATGCTCGGAACATTATTTTCCAAACGAGTAACGTTTCACGGATGAATGTGTTTCTTTACAAGGGGTAAATGGAGTTTAGAAAGAAAAAGAGAGAGAAAGGAAAATATTATCGTTAACCGTTGGATATAAAACAAAAAAAAAAGAAGAGAAAAAATACTAAATCAAACATATACGAATTTAAAAAAATAACACGGTAAAATTCGAACACGTTTGGAAAAATGTAACAACAAATATCTATATCAATGGAAGAATGGGGAAAACAAAAATCAAAGAATGAGAAATAAAGATGGAGCCAGAAAGAACAAAATATCAACAGCAATGACAACGACAACAGTAACCAAAGTAACAGCAGCAATAACACAGAGTATTGAAATCGATGTGAAATCAATGGAACTTTAACCGCGAACGTTGCACTGATAATTAAAAGAAAAAAGAAACAAAAAACAAAAAGAAACGAAAAATGATTACGGCAGCAGGAAACACACGTGTATGACCCACCCCTATTACGATAGTGAGAAACGATTAACGTTTAATCCTTGAATCGAATTTATTAGTTCGATGAAAAACGCGACAATTCGTTATCGTGATTTATTGAAATGATAAAAAAAAAAAAAAAAGAAAAAAAAAAAGAACGAATTGTGAATTCGTGTTTTAAGAGTTGAAACTTTGAATGTACTCTCCGTGTTCTACAAACGTGATCACACGAAAAGTTCTCTCACTCTCTCTGCTTCTTTTTTTATTATATTCTTCTTCTCTCTTTCCACTTTGTTGAGCGTGGATTGATTCGAACTGAAGTTCCTCATATTCGATACACACGAGCGCATCTCGGATACCGCGAATGGATCGATCGGTTAAGACTCTACTCGAAAATGGAAAGAGGAACGAAGAACACTATCGATCCTCGTTGATGCTTTAACGAGCGATAGAAGAAGAAGACTTGCGGAAAGATCTAAGCTAGTAAGAACGGGGCAAAAGGAGAGAAAGAGAGAGAGAGAGAGGTTGAAATGGTGAAAAGAGTTAGAGGGTGAGAGAAGAGAGGAAGAGGGATTAAGTTAGGAATGGCTTTATTATATCAGTAACTACCGAGAGAAGCCAACCTCAACGGCACGAACTACTCGGAAGTGCTGCGACGATTTAGCCCCAACTGCGTTGGATGCATTTAGATGGCGAAATTAGGATTTTTCATGAACGACTATGCGAGAACTAGAAAAAGGGAAAAAAAGAGAGAGAAAGAAAGAAAGAGAGAAAAACGCACGCAAGCACGCACGTACGAACGCACCTAAATGAGGAAAAAAAATATCAAGAAAGATAAGAGAACTTTATTTCTCTCTTTCATTTTTATTATTTTTATAATTTTTTATTTTATGTTTTTTATATATCATTCTTCTCTCTCTCTCCGACAGAAATTCAACATGTTCGTGGCCAACGTAATAGAGTAAAACGTTACAAGCCGCAAGGGGTTAATGCTTAAAGAGATACCTTCAACCTCGACTCCTTTTTAGCTCTACACATCCACACACACCCCCCTCCCACCCTTTCCAAAACCCATTCTAATTCTAAGTCGTTTTCGGTCCATCAACGAACTTGCATCGCGCAATGGTCGGTTGCATCGCGATTATGGTTGGTTGCATCGGACACAAAAGGGGGTGAGTTTAGACAAAGAATAGCTACATACTTCGAACAATGTTCCGATTTAATGACGTTTCAAGGTAGTTCAACTTAATGGCGAAATGAGGGGTTACTATACCACTCCGATATATGTATATTATGTACACATCTTTCTTGCTCTTACTTACTTTCTTTTAGCTCGTTTCACATCGTGAAACTTATCCCCATAACAATTCCTCGCATTTCCCTCTCGACGATCGTCTCACGGCCATTACGAGTTCCAACATTTTTTTTTGTTTTTTTTTTTTTTCTATAACTCGTTTTATTCTCACCAAGTATTTTCAACTATTCTCATTCTCCTTTTCCTTCTCCTCAAAACCCTCCTCACACTCTCTCCTCTTCGTATCTTTGTTCCTTTTGAATTTCATCCATTTCGCTAACTT